CCCTTATGTTTTCAGAGCTGTTTTTATCTCACCATCTTCCTGTGCCTCTCTGTCTTACTATCTCCTGTCTATCTCTGTATCTGTACCTCCTCATCTCTCTCTGACTATCTTTCTGACTCTCTATCTCCCCATGGCTCTCTCCCCTGCATCTCAGCAGGCTCAGAGCAGGATCTGGTGCACATGAAGGACAGCTGTATCCTAAATGAGAGAGATGGAACCCAGAGGCCTGAGCTCTGGGATGCTGGTGACAGGCTGGCCTGGTCATAGCCTACCCTCCTCCCATGTCCTTCCCATGCTCACCCCCTCCTGCTCCCATTCACCTCATCCAGTCCACTGCTTCGGTTTTTAGTCCCCCACCAGGTGAGAGTGTCGTTGCTGAATTGGACCTTGTAGGAAGTGACCCAGTCATACCTTCGGTAGGGGAGAGAAGAAATCCAGAGAGTGGAGAGATGAGCTTCTCTCTCTCCCTCTCACACCCAGTTTCTGATCTCAGTATCCTATGATGCTGTGTCCCAGCTAGGGCCATTCCTAGAATGTCATCCTCTAGAGATCATTGAATATGGTTTCCCCATTTTACAGCTGGGGAAAATGAGCCCCAAACAGAGGCAAAGTCACACATCTGGGACAGAGCCAGGAGAAGGATCAGTGTCTTGGTTCCCAGGTCCAAGCTCTTTACCGGTTGTAGATCCTAACCTTGAGATCCAGGACCCCATTAATCCTTCTAAAGGACTTTGCCTAGGGCAAAAGTTCTGATATGAATACTCTAACCTGAGTCCTGCCTGCCCAGCTGCCCCCCCCACCTACAGTTCATCCCTGCCCAACCAGGCCTGTCCTGTCCTTCGCACCTCCAGATGGAGTTCCTGCCCTGGGTGATGACACCGGTGAACCGGGCCGTCCGACCAGCATCCACTTGTAGCCAAGGTCGATCATCTTCTGTCTCTGGGCACCAGGCCCCATCAAAGAGATCCCCATCCTCTAAGCCTGACTGCAAGACAGACATCAAGAGAAAGACAAGGTATGAGGGGAGGGGACAAGAGACTGTGAGAGAGAGTTTTCTTTTAGTGGGGAGGGTATCTGAAAGGGCATTCTCCATAATTTTTTTTTTTTTTACTAAGAAGTTTTCTCTGTCTTTGCAGAAAGGTTTATATAGGGGCATCTCTTGGGTGGATTGCAATCTGTTGGGACAGGTGTTTCTGACATAGAGGTGGGAATTGGGGAGTAGGAGTTTCTGACCTGGATGTTGAGCCTTCCACGATGGGCACCCAGGCCATATGATTGGCTGCTGGAAGCCTGGAGCTGTTCATCAGAGACTCGGAGAGATTCCAGCCCCAGGGGGGGGCAGCCTGTATAGGGGGAACAAATGAGGGGGGAACACAGGAAGATGGGCTCCATAATGCATGTTTCTGTCTGTCTTGACATGAATCCTTCCTTATGCTTAGATGTTATAGGGTTCGTGTATCAACCTGTGTATCCAAGCACATCTGTATCAACATATATGTGTCAGAGTATCTGTGTCTGGATGTTTCCATGTCCCTTGACTGAATGTCCCTCAATTGAGAGCTACCTGGCTCTGGATCCTGAGTGATCTCTTGGTTTCCTGGGCTAGGGTGGGTTGGACTCAGCTTCTTCCTCTTCTTCACAACAACTTTTTTCTTCTTGACAACTCGGAGCTTGACTCGAAGCACTGACTTTGCTGAGGGAGGAAGGACAGGAAGGTTGGAAGAGATCCAACCAGGGCAAAAGCTGAACTAGATCCCTGGGGACAGACATTCCTCATTCATGATCTTGGTGGGAAGGTGGAGGGGTGGGGGAAGGGACAATCTATGATATTGTGTCCTCCCTTTCTCCCTGATACATAATTTCAATTCAGTTCACTAAACATTTATTGCTTCTGCCTCAATTACTTTTCTCTAGTTGTTTTTATTCCTCCCTCCCCCTCACCCACTCCTTTTCTGTTTCTTATCTCTACCCTATCTGTCTTTCCTCTGTTTTCTCTACCTCTGTTGTCTCTGTTGTTTCCACAATTTCTCTGTCTCTCTCTGTCTCTGTGTCTCTGTGTCTGTGTCTGTCTCTCTCTCTTCCTCCCCCGACCCTGTCTGTTTTTTACTGTCTCCATTTTTCACTGTTTCTCTCCTTATCTCTTCCTCTCTATCTCCTAAGCTTCCTTTCCTTCCCTCTTTCTCGGTTTCTCTCACTCTCTCCATGTTTAGATTTCCACCTGAATTTCATATTTCTCTCCCTTTATCTCTTTCTCTCCCCCTCTGTGTCTCCTTGGGAGCCTTAAATCTTCTCTCCTGCCTAAAAGACCCCATCTCTCACCAGCCTTAGGTCTCTACTCTTTTCAGAGCTTTCCTAAGTCTGAGATCCCGGGAGCGACAGGGGAGCTAGGTCCAGATGGAATCTCCAATGCTCAGAAATTGGGAGTGTGAATAAGCAAGTATGTGCCAGAGAGAGAGAGAGAGAGAGAGAGAGAGAGAGAGAGAGTGTGTGTGTTTAAGAGTTGGGGGAGGGAGTGTGGAAGGTTTTGAGTGAGTGTAGGGGGAAGGGGCTGAGAAGTATGTGACTCGGTACAGGAGGGGAGTGGAGAGGGAATGGACTGAACCACTGAAATCGATTTCTACGAACGTTTCTGGAAGTACCAACTGCGCTCAGTCTCAGACTTAGACAATTCAATTCAATTCAAAAGAGATTTATGGAACCGACCCGACCCTAGAAAAGACAATCTGAGAAGAGGGACGGGAGTCTCACCTTTCTCCTTCTTCGCCTCCTCTTTGGACCCCCCAGGCTTCGGGGTGTAGGCATGAGGAGCTCGGACAGCCGGGGTCCCCGGTCTTGGGGTTCGAGGAACCGGAGCCGTCTGGGTTGCGGGTCGTGAGGTGGGGGTAGCAGAAGCTGGGGAAGTTGAGGACCATGGGATTCTAGGGGTCAGGGACTCAGGGGTCCGGAGACCAGAAGTAAAGATATTGGGGATAGAGGGAGTTGTGGGCTGAGAGGTTCGGTGGACCTGGGATTTCGGTGGCTTGGATCGTGGGGCGGAGGTGGTAGGGTCCGGGGAAATTGCAGGCCTGGGGGTTAAGGGGACCTGGGACTCCGATGTCCGGCGGGAAGTTGGGCTGGCAAAGGCTGGAATTGCCCCCAGACCGGGGCTGAGGCGAGAGGTCTGTGCCAGGACGGTCAAGGTAAGCAAGAGCCCCTGCATGGCCAGGGCATGGAGGGGGTAGACAAGGGGATGGGTTGAGGGGCGGGGGCGGGGTGAGTTGTGTGGTGTCTGTCCGTCAGTCAATCCGTCCGTCTGAGTCTCCCTCCTGGTCTTGGCTCCTTCCACGGCCCTGCCCCTCCCCCTTACCCCTCGCCTCCGCCCCTTCCTCTTGTTCTCCCCTTCCCTCTAAGTTGTCCCAACCCAGAAAGTGAGGGGAGGTTGTTGATGATCCACTGCAAACTCAGGTCCCTCCCCCGACCAGCGCCCCTGCGAAATGGAGTCAAAAGCCGGGAAACTGAGGCCCAGAACTCGGGGCGATTCCTCGTGTATTTCTCTAACTACCTTCCTCTACCCAGTACTGCAGGAACCTCTGGGCAGTGAAATCCAGGAGGCTGCGAGTTGGGGAAGGGCGGGGGGAGATGGGAGGAGGAAAGTAGCTCCTCCACGTGCCGGGCTGCTATCTACAACTTCCCACTCCCCTTTCCTCAGGCTGTCCAGTACCCCCACCCCCCACCCCTTTTATATCCGGAGGAGCTGAAAGGGATGCACAGCCCAGGAATCTCCGTTTCCATCTCCCCCGCCCCCGGGAGGCTCTAGCAGGGGGCTGGACTGTGGGAGGAGTGTGGCCCAAGTGGGGCCACGAAGAGGGGATTCTGAGGGATGGGGGAGGGGAAAGCCCCTAGGAGCTAAGAAGAATTGCAGGAGAGGCCCAGCTGCGGATCCAGACTTGCTGGCGCATAACCCGATAGCACCCTCCACCATTTCTGAAGGAATGTTGAGGAGGAAGGAAACTGAGGCTGAGGGAGGAGTGTGGGAGGTAAAGAAGGGAAAGTTCCATCTTTGTTCAAAGTCAGGATCGAGGACTGGAGGCAAACACTGGCATCGGAGCTCCCCAGTCCACTTTCCTTCTCTCCGCCCCCACCATCTGCCACGTTCCCCGTTATGTAACTACAGCTGAGGCTGCACATGCAGATGGGAGGGGACCCGGACCAGGCAGATGTGGGAGGGGGCGGGGCAGATGTGGGGCTGGGGGTCGGCCGTCTAACTCCGGAAGATCGAAATCCCTCCGCTTTAAAAGTCTACCTGAACCCAAAGGAACTGTCTGTTTCAGTCATTCTCTTCTGTCTTTTCCATCCCCTCAGATCCTGGGCGGGTTCCCATCCAATTCCACAGACACTTATCAAGTAGCTATTATGCTAGCGGCTCCGCATACAAGCACAAAAACGGAACAGTATCTACCCTCGAGGAACTTATATTCTATAGTGATTGGGGTGGGTACGGGGGGCTACCCCCTAGTATCCTAAAACTCAGTCTCCTACATCAGACCAGGGACTGTGTCTCCCCACCCAGTTCCGGCCCTTGGGATGCCCCGCCATCCCCACCCAATGGGTCACAATAGGGCCAGGGTCGCCTCCCAGGATCTGGGACTGATCTGGAGAAGAGGGGCCCGGGCAACTCCAACAGCAGGGGTGAGACCTTGGCCCCTGGAGCGGGGTTGGTTGAGGCTGAGCTCGAGCTCCTGGCGGGTGGAGGCGGCCAGTGTGGAAGCCTCTGGGAAGTGGGGGACAAGGCTGAAGATGGAGAGGCTGAGCTAAAGCCGGGAGAAGGAATTAAGATGGGAGAAAAAGGACTAAGACTAGGAGTGCAGAGGAGATTTAGGTTTGGGGTAGAGAAGAGAGGAGGGGCGGAGCTGATCTTGGAGGGATGGTGCTTTATGGATCTCCTTTCCACCCTCCAGCCCCCAGCCCCCAGCTCCTCTATTCCATCTGGGGCTGGCTGAGTCCCGGGCCCGGCAGGGTCATCAACTACAGGGAATGAACTACAAGAACAAGTCAAACTGGGACAAATCGCCGGGGTCCGGCAACACTGATGACTCCCAGGCTTCTCTGCTTCGGATTCTGTGAGTGACGGAAGTCGGTGACTCGATGCTCTTCCAGAAGTTCCCGCCCCTGCCACCCCACTCTCCCAGGAGCCTACTTGCTTTTCTAGACCCCCTACCTTGCTCTCTACACCTCCCCTGCCCCTCAGCTCGCCCACCCATACCCTTAGGCTCCTCTGGCCTAAACTCAGGAGCCCCTAAACTCAGGAGCCCCCGCTAGGTTTGCGGCCGGAATCTGGGGAGAGAGGAGTAGTTTTAGGAGGGGTCTGGGGTGTGTGTGTGTGTGTGTGTGTGTGTGTGTGTGTGTGTGTGTGTGTGTGTGTGTGTGTGTATCGGGGGGAAGTAGCTCTGGGATGGGGAGAACTTTGGGGTGGGATTTGAGAAGGGAAGCGTCCCCCTGTCCCTGCTGCTGCCCTCTATCCCTCCCACAACCCACTGCTCCACTCTCCGTGCCTCTCGTCCTATGTCGCCCCAGGTTCCTGGACGTACAGAATGTGCTATGCCCCCGGTGCCGGACCAGAAGGAGGAATGCTCGGTGCCAGAGATCGTTTGAGGAGTGTGCGAACCAGTGCGCAACTGCGCACAGTGACAGGAACCAAGACCTAGACCAGAACCAGGACAGGGACAGGGACCTGGACTGGGATGGGGATGGAGATGGGGATGATGATGTGGACGAGGATGTGGACGGGGACGGGGACGGTGACAACTCCACGTGTTGGGTTCAGTACTCAAGCCGAGACCGCCACCGCTCTAACCGGAGCCGCTCCCTTTCTGCCGAATCCCCTCCGACAAGGCAAAGTGAGTCCTTCGGCTTGCGGTGGCTTCATCCTCTGGAGCTGGCTCTGAACATGACTGCCGGGCTGGCCCTGCTGTTCTTGCTAGGATCAGAGAACTTAGAAACGCTGCTGCCCTTCTTTTTCCTCTTTGTCCTTTACGTGCTATTCACTATGCCCCTGGCAATGGTACTAGGCTGTAAGAGGCCATCTCAAAAGCAGACTTGGAAGCGGTATTAAGGCAGTGCTCTGGGTCTAGTACGCTCTCAGCCCCAAACGCAGGGGAGCTCTCCTCGGAGTGCAGATCATATCCTCGAATATCGAAGTCCATACCTGGAATACAGGGCCCTGACCAGAATACAGACCCGATCTCCTTAATCTCTGCCCAATCTCCAACAGGAATCTTGGACTGGGAAGCAAACACGGGAGCCCAAAATACAGCCCAAATACAAAGGACCCCAGACCCAAACAGGACCCAGACCGGAAAACATCTGAAAAAAGCAATAAAGAAGCCCTGACCCAGCCGTCTCTCAGCGTTGCATCTTGCTGAATTGGGGATGGGAATAAGAAGGGGGGAAGTCATGTTGTTCCACTCTGTTGACCTCCAAAGATAGGAAATGGGGGTGTGTGATGCTAGTTCTAACTAACCATATGGATGATACTAATAGTTTCAAGTTTTGCAAAGTATTTTTCTCCAATCAACCCTGAGGTAGGAATTTTACCCAATTTACAGTTGGGGAAACTGAGGTTCACATATATTAAGTGCCTTAACCAGGTCACAAATCTAGTGTCTGGGCCGGGATTTAAATTCCAATCTCCCCTAACTATAGTATGCTTTCCACTGAGCTGCTCTGCCATTTTAGGCCTCATTCAACTGAAGGGGCAACAGTGAACAAGATCTGAGGAAACAGACATGCTGGGTTTAATTTGGCTCTGAGGATGTGGGTGAGGGGAGAAGTGAATGGAGAAACAACAGGTCAGATTTGAAGTAAACCACACCCTTCGAGACAGTACATACCCACAGAAGACCCAGAGACAGAAATAAACTGATCTGTGTTGTGTTCATGGCCATTGGGAGGGAGGGGAGTCTAGGCAAGCTTAGAGGGAGAAGCATAGCGTGGAAAGAAAAGAACTCTGGTGTGGAACAGAAAAAGAGATGGCGGAAACGGGGGCCGGCGGAGGGAGCAATGGGTTATCAAGAGATTTAGGTAAATGTGTGCAGCACTCACGAAGCCCACAAAGTGACCAATGAGCTAGCCCTTTGGCCTCAATGGACTCAGCTCAGAGCTCTGAACCTAGAGCCTCAACTCAGCATCTTTGTATTCCTCGCCCTCTTATTTTTAGTTCCCCAACACAACAGGAAAGGATCTCAGAGGTCACCTAAAACAATCTTTATCTGAAAAATACTTATCTCCTCCATGACATCCCAGACAAATGGTCAGCCAGTCTTCCATTAAGACTTCCATTGATGGAAAACTCACTGCCTTCCATTTGAGTGCAGCTCCAATTCTTAGGAAACTTCTTATATGGAGCCTAGATCTGCCTCCATACCAGGCGTAGGGAAGCTGTAGCCTTGAGGCCACACCTGAAGACCTAGAGGGCTACATGTGGTTGCAGGTTCCCCACCCCTGCTCCACACCTTCCACCCTACTAATCTCTGTTTGGCCCTCAGGGGCCAAGGCAAACATCCAATCTCTTTTCTACTTGACAACAAGCCTCAAATATTTTGAAACATCTTGTCTACCCTAAATGTTCTGCTCTCCAGGCTAAATATCCCTAGTTCATTTAATCCACTCTCATCGGACATAAACAGGTAGCCTGGCACAATGGAAAAGAATAGACTGGCAGCTCCATGTCCTTGACTGGAATCCTGGCTCTGCTAATATGAGGCTGGACAAATAACTTCAGCTCTCTTGGGGCTCAGGTTCCTCATCTATAAAACAAGGGAGTTGTGTTGCTAGATGGGCATAGCTGGGTGGCAAAGAGGATAGAGCACCAGACCTGAAGTCAGGAAAACTCATCTCCTCCAGTTCAAACTGGGACCTCTGACTAGCTGTGTGACCCTGGGCAAGTCACTTAACTCTGTTTGCCTCAGTTTCCTCATCTGTAAAGTGAGCTGGAGAAGGAAATAGCAAACCATGCCAGTATCTTTGCCAAGAAAACAGCATATGGAGTCACCGATAGTCGGACACGACTGAGCAAAAAAGTTGCTAGATGATTTGTAAAGTCTCTTCAAATTTGAACCCCTAAAATCCTGAAGTCTTTTCCTGAAAGAGATTACTGTCCCTCTGACAAACTCTAGATTGTCCATATTCTTCCTAAAATCTGGAGTCCAAATGTGGTCTGATGCTGCTGGTGGAATTATCACCTTCATCATTTTGGACTCATAGACTTCTCTCTCTTAATACAGTTTTAGATTGCATTAGGGTTTTTGGTTTTGTTTTTTGCCTTTTTGTTGACTCAGTTTAAAAGATAGGAAGAAAGTTCCCTGGAAATTTGCAAATTTAATTAAAGGGGCTTTAAACTGCAAAGGAAGAGGAAAGGAGAAAAGTACCTCCACAATTCCAACAAGTTAGATACCAGAGTGTAGCTACAATGTAAAAAGGATCATAGTTGAAATGCTCAGAAAGTCACGTACAAAATCCAGAGGAGAAGTCAGCAGTAAAACATCCTGTTGAATTATTGAGGGACATTGTAATTGAACACTAAATTAAACAGCTATGGTGGCTATTCAGATGTTGGAAAATTAGTTCATTTTCTTGGAAACTGATTCAAACTAAGGGCTATTTATTTGAAGGATAACAAAATCGCTATGCTACTTTAGATACAACAGTTTAACTTACACTAACACAAATGGTCTGGTTAGGATAAATTTCGATAGGAGGTAATGATTTTGACAGTTAGTTACAGCCTATAAAAATATATACAAAAGAAAAAGATTTCATTGGGCCTTAGTATTACTATAGCAAATACCACAAGCTTGAACCAACACTCAAAACAACATTGATAAAAAACATTGTAATTAAAAATAATTGAGATTAGCTACTACATGCAATAATCCTTGTTACCTTCACTATTTGTACCTAGTTTGAGTTCATATTTATATAAATGACTATTCTAACCCTTTATTTTCACTCTCTGAGTTATCTCAGACTAGCTAATATTACATATATTTCTTACATTGTAGTAGTACAAAAAAAGGACAATTTACTCAAAATAGACATGCAGGGTAAATACCTGGATAACACATTAGACGGACAATACTCAACAGCTAGTGCCAAAACCACAGCATCTCCCAATCACTGGAGATAGAAGTCTGCACATGCAGTTTGACCCCAGCCCCACAGTCAAGCAAACAATGCCCAATTTTAGGAATTAGGAAATAGGTTTAATAACTTTGTGTATCTAATGACCAGGAAAGGTGCTTGATCCTGATATCTTGGACACCATCATCCCTCACCTGGATCAGTAAATTTTCAGGATTCTTAATGGTAGCCAAGCATGGATTCCATGGTGGCCAATGGTCACATTAAGGAAGTGGAAAGAAGCATTGAGTCCAATGTCTGGCATTAGCAGAAAGTGGGGAAAACCTCAGTATCTACAACAGAGCTGTCACATCAGTTCCCTAAAGTCTGTCATGCGGAGAAGAGTTTTAAAAGCTGGAATGTCTGCAAACTTTGGCCAAAGAAAGCACAACATCTAGGGAATCTCCTAGCTCTATAGCCATTTTCTTCGCCTTCTTTCCTTCTTCTTCATCTTCCTATTTCCTTCCACTCCCTGCTTCAAACTTTGCCTTTCTTATCTCTGTCTCATTGCACAAGTCTAAGCTGGGAGCATGCCTAACCAACCAGAATCCTTCTGGGTGATGCCATATGTATGGCAGAGTCAGTTAATTTGACTGCCACAATTCATTTCGTAATGTCTGAAATATGATTGCTATGACCATTTTCCATAACATTTATAAGAATGTTTGCTATTCAAGATCTTTGTAATTGCAAGTGCCGTCTTTCTTTTGTGAATTGCTTGTTAGAAAATGTATATATGACCACACATATTTGTGATTACCTTCTGGTCCATTTCATAGATATTCCAATATACATAGTACTAAATTAAAAGCCCTGAGTGAGTATTGGACTAGAGACTATAACTACAGCATGCTTGTGTGTCTGGATACAGGCTCAGGAGAGTTAAGAGCTAAAATATAATAAAATGGTATATTTTTGGTGGAGTATATATGAAATAAAGTAAAATATAATAAAAAGACATATATAAAATATAAAAAATTCAGGCTGGCAAGAAATTGAATGTCATGTTTTGTTGTTGTTTTATTTTACCATGAAACCTGTTGTGAGTTAATGGTTACCTGAGTGAGGTAGGAGCTCTGAGGCTTTGAGAAAGTTTTACTTATTTTTTTTTTAAGCAATTGGAGTTGTGACTTGCCCAAGGTCACACAGCTAGTAAGTGTCAAGTGTTTGCTCTGAGGTCAGATTTGAACTCAGGTCCTCCTGACTTCAGGGCCGAGTGGATAGCTGCCCCGAAAAAGTTTTTTAGAGTCCATCTAAGACTATAAAAGCAGGTCTTCTGTTTCCATGAGAATGAATCAAATAAACAAACAAGCAAACACCAATCATTCATGAGATTAAGTCAGACTTTCTCCCTTTCCTTTTCTCTCTCCTTCAGCTCTTTAACCAATTACAAAGCTCAAAAAACCCAGTGTACATCTGGGAGAGGAGGTGACATATAATTCCTTAACACTTTGCATTTCCACCAAACAATTCCTTAAGAATTCCTAAGATTCAAGAAAAATGAACACATATCAGATATGGACTTTTCCTATATAAAAAGAGAGAATACTGAAAAAACATTTTTCAGAACTTCTGCTACACATCCCTTTTCTCCAGTCCCCTTCAGCTGACCATATACTCAGGTCAACCACACAATAATTGGAAGTCTACCTAGAGAATCAAGCAAGAGAACTTCTATTATCCCTTATCTCCAGCTTTCCTGAGGCCTTATGTTTACAGTAAAGAATAATCTTCAACATATCTCTTTCAGAAATATAAGTTTATATAAGCACCATGCTCCTTTTTTTTTAAAGTGTGGATATTGATGTATCATAAAAATTACTTATTTGAAAACATTTTAATGTAGGAATTAAAATGGGTAGGGGAACTTCATTTTAAGAAAAACAAATCTTTGCACCATAAACAATGAATATGAAAATATTGAAGAAGCATGGAAAGACTTACATGAACTGATGCAGAGTGAAGCAAGCAGAAACAAGAAAACAATGTACACAATGACTATTAAAATGTAAATAGAACAGAAAAAAGTTAAACTGAATGCAGTGCTTTTATATTGATGAGGCTTGGTCCAGGAGAAGACATGAAAAAATACATAACCCCCTTTTCTTCTTTCCAGGAGTAGAGAGGGCTATGAGTATGAAAAATTACATGTACCGTCAGAATCTATTAGTCTGTTACTTAGTTTTGCTAAACTTCTTTTTC